TTTTGTGTGGTCCGATTCTTTGTGATTTAAGGACTGAATGAAGGCCAAGGCGCTAAGCCCACGACGCATTGGCCTTTTTTCATACGCAGGATCACAATTCTATGTCAAGACCCAATTGGATGATAATTCTATCTTAGATAAGTTTTAATTTTGATGAGGATGTAGACTCCAACCATTTCAATTGAGTTATAATGCCTATGGAGTGTAAACTTTGGGCCTTCTTTGCGAACCCACCAAAAGTTCGGCATCCCTTGTCAGGAAAATTATTGAGCATCCCTATGATAGCAAAATAGGGATAGGCAATGTCTAAGCGATGGAAAAAAGCGATACAGAAAGGAGGGAAAACCTAGGGGAGAGGGAAAAAGAGAAGGGGAGAATATGAGAACCGAGTGCGAAATGAGAGAGGGGAGAAAGGAAATCACCACTATTGTCGTCGTCCATCCACAAATTCATCACCGGTAACTGATAATCTGGCATTCCACAAGTTCAAGTAGTTTTGACATGTAAGTTCAGGTAGTTCTGACTCGCTCAAATCAAGAGGAGTTTTGATTCAATTGGTTTATGTGAAAGTTGTAGATAAAGAATATTATATGATACATGATGGGTAGTTTTGGCATTTCCAAAATTAACTGATAGACTTTTAACAACGGGGACCTATTAGACACATTCCAAAAGTTTGGGTACTACATAGACACGTTTCAAGTTCGGGGACTGACTTGTGACAACCCCTAAAGTTCAGGGTACTAATCAAGAATTTGCCCTTTCACTTTTCACCCAACCTAGATTTTTCCTAAAAAACATTGAAAATCTACCAATGAACTTGATAGGCTAGGTGACCTAACCCAAGAGGGGGCTGAATTGGGTTCTCCTCACTTCTACAGATCTCCTTTTAAAACCTTTAAGTGCTATTTTGATGTTGTGGAGAACAATAATACAAAGAACCATGTAACACATACAATAGTCTGTGAAATAAATTTAAATAACAACAACAAGAATACAATGCACAAGATTTTTATAAATGCATGGCCAAACCCAGCCTACATACTCTCCTGGCACACCACCTTAGAATGTCCACCAACTAGCTGGACCTCTTGGGTACCAACAAAACCTTTACAGCCAATTGGATTTCACAAGTGCTAACAAGACCTTTATCGGATAGACTTAGGTGTGTTATCACAACCCTACATTGTGCCTCTACATTCACACCTTGAAGACTTGATGTCCTCGGATAGTCTTATAGGTTATATCCAAACCTTTTACAATCTCAAAGATATGACAATAAAAGCTCAAAAAAATACAATGCCTTTTAATAAGTTAATATGACAATTACAAGCAAAAACAATGTTTAGAGAACCAAACCGGGCATAAAACCAAAAAAGGGAGAGGTTTGCAAGTAAGATGTTCAATTAGGGTCAAATCAAGACTAGACAATGATGACATGGCATATATGTATATATATTGCGAGTTATATAAACAATATATATTATATATTATACAATTTTTATCATCTTAAATATGGTTGATAGATGGAAAGTTCCTTAATTTTTAAAGCAAATGACTGGGGTTCGAACCTCTTAGTTCACAATCTTTTAAAATGCGTGTGATAAAGTAATATTTACAATAAATTAAGTAAGACAAAAAAAAGTAGATTAATGGTAATTAAGCAATACTTGAAAATAAGAGGTCATGGATTTTAAGTCTTATCATACATGTTTTGAAATTTTAATTATCTAATGACCTAAGTGATTTCATGAAATTGGGATTGGTTCGTTGGTTTTCTTGTTAAACTGGTTAGTTAGTTAGTTTTCACTGCTTTTTAACAATTTTGGTTCTTGGTTTTTGGAGTGTGACCGAACCAACTACGGCCCCATGTCATGATTCAACCAATCCAACCATCTGGTCTAGTCTAATTTCTTAAACACTGAGCAAAACTTACCCAATGTGCAAGATAACACCAAGAATGTCTAGGCTCAAGTCTCTCCTTGTATTTTCTCATGTTTCCCTCTTGTTCTTCTTACTAAGCCCTTTGAATTTCACATTTTTGCCTAATTTTTTCTTATTCTCACAGATTTTTATAGCTAAAGCAATATGACCATTTTTTAGCCATTGGAAACTGATCTCAATCCTCTATTGGGAAGTCTTAAAATGATTTCTAACAAATATCATACTTTTTCCAAAGAGTAAAGAATTATTGTATCCCAAATGGTCAAAAAAGAAATCATATGAGAGAATTTCTTACACATAATAGTCAATACCTTACCTCCCTAAGCATTGTTGATGCTGTCACAAGTAGTTGACTTTTGCCATAAGGGTAGTCAACTATTGGGTGACACCAATATCAAACTGTCAAGGGTATTCAATTACTGCTTCTTGATAGTCAACTATTAACAACATCTAACCTTAGAAAACTTCATGGTAGTTGACTCTTAGAGCTTAGAAACCGACTCCTTATCCTCCCAAACTTAGAATTTTCACAATTTAGTCCAATTTTAAATCCAAGAAGAGCCTAAGAATCTTTTCAAGTTTAACCATTGGTCTTTGAGGTTTGGTATAACCGAAGTAGGTTTGAGTTAATTCTGTGTAATGTATCTTGCAACTGATTGCATCAAATCCTAAAAATATTAAAACATGTTAAAGGCTCTAGAGCTTAATGTCTTCTTTTTCTTTTTATTCTTTGTAGCTTTCTTCTTTCTTAAATAGTATTCAACCCATCATTTGAATCAACTGGTCCTTTGTGCTTCGATTATCATTTGTTTTATAAGTCTTTTGAGTTTAATTGAGGATCCATTTGCTACAAGTGTATACTTACTTTTCAAACTATTAGAACTTTCAATGAGTCTATTATAATCAAAACTCATAGGATCAATAAAACTATTGAATCAAACGATTGAACCAAGGTTCAAAGTATTGTTACGTATTGGCCCATATCGGCCGATACGTATCGTTCTGGGACCCTTCCGATACACCCTTACAGTGGGTGTATCGGGGGTTAGACTGGTTCAGGGGATGGAGGGGTCCTAGACAGTCTCCCCTGAACCAGTTTTGAGAAAAAATAAAAAAAAACTAAAAAACAAGTATCGATACGCGAGCATATCGATATTTTGAACCTTGGATTGAACTACTAAACTGTTCAACTTGAACATTGTTTTTTGGGTCATTTTTATTCTTTTTTTAATTTGTATAAATGTCATGGGCTAATCCATTTGGACCGGACTTTTGAATTGCTAACCTAAGAGGCCAAAAGTACTTCCATTTCTAGGTTGGTTTTTAAAACCTTGCCTACAAATGACTATCTTAAAAATCGTAATTGAAAATGTGGACCAAGCTTTATATAAAAAAAGGGTAAATTTCTTAAACTACCTTTATGCTTTACCTAATTGACTAAGTGTACCCTTACTGTTTGAAAATTGACTAACACTACCCTTACTGTTTCTGACAATTGACTAATTCTACCCTTACCATGAGGTTCTGTTAACATTCCGTCAAAACTCATAGGCACATGATATATATTTTTTTTAAAAACCCAATTTTACCCTCCACCTCCGACCTCCCCCTCTTTCTCTCTCCTTTCCCCATCGGCCTCCCCCTTCTCTCTCTCTCCTTCTTTTTCCCTCTTTCTCTCCTTTACCCTAAATAGGGGAGATCTGCTACTGCTCTCCACTACTTGGTCCGGCTAAAACACACAAGAAAAAAGGAAAACAAGGGAGATCCACCACTACTCTTTGTCGCTTGGTCTGACTAAAGCACACAAGAAAAAAAGGAGAACAAGGAAGATCTTCCACTACACTCTACCGGTGGTTGCCGCTATTGCGGTTTTGACAGTTCTAGCAAAGAGAATGAGAGGGAGGGAGAGATCCGAGTGAGGAACCCATATATGAGTATCTCTCATATTCTCATATCTGCAAGGAACCTAGATCTGAGATCTGAGATTCAATCATCATTCGTCGTTCTAGCAGTTCTGGCAAAGAGAATGAGAGGGAGAGGGAGAGATCTAAGTAAGGAACCTAGATCTGAGATTTGAGAGATACTCAAATCTGAGATTCGACCATCATTCGCCATTCCGGTAGTTCCAACGAAGAGAATGAGAGGGAGAGGGAGAGATCCGAGTAATCTATAGTGGAGGGTAAAATAGTCTTTTTCATATCTCCGTTGACGCATGCTAATGATTAAGAATGATTAGTCAATTGTTAAAAATATTAAGGGTAGTGTTAGTCAATTTTTAAACAATAAGGATACACTTAGTCAATTAGCTAAACCATAAGGGTAATTTAAGAAATTTATCCTAAAAAAATGTGGTCCAAACCTTGTGTAATAAGTTCATTCTGGGCTATCAAGTTGGCTTGGCTCATTCTTTTATAGGCCTAGGCTAAGAACTTTTCAAATAGCCCATACATAATATTATTAGTAATATGTAATTAATATACAAAGGTAGGAGTTTAGATTGAATAAGGGCTGGGTTCAAACTTGGGGTGTTAACGATATTCGGAAATCCGATTTCGAATTCAAGATTTGACATAATCAAATTGAATTCGGATATGACCTGATTCAATTTGATAAATATCCAAATTTGATTGATTATTTAATTCTTATATATATATATAAATATTTAAATGTTTTATATAATTAGATTATATAAATAATTTATATATTTATATACATTATATAAATAAAATATTTATTAATTACATAAAATAATTAATTGGTCGAATCGAATTAAATATTTAAATATTTAATCAAATTCGTATTCAAATATTAATTTTCAATATCCACTGATGTCGAATCAAATTCTGTTTACCCCACTAATTCAGACTCAGGCTTAAACTAAAACATTTTTTTATTAATAAATAAAGAAGCAAAGCCAAGCCCGGCCCGGCTCGTGAACGGGTCTAAGCGCTGCACGGGACCCGTTAAGCGCCCATACCTAGTTTTGATTTTTGAAGAAACCATATCGCGTTTGTTTTGCGACAAAACCTCCTACCTAAATAATAAATAAAATAAAAGAAGAGAGAGAAGTAACTAAGAGTTTCTCTTTCTCTGTATGCTCTCTGCCTCTCTCTCGTTCTTTTGGAAACCCTAATATTTCTCTCCGGTCTTTCTTTTATTATTTCGTTCCTCATTTGTTTCTTCGTGAGTAGCAAGTAGATCCGAAAGTTCAAAGTCTAGGGTTTCTCCGATTTGGATCGATCAGCACATCTCGAAATCTAGGGTTTTTTTTTCCCTTCTCTCCGCTGGGTTTGTGGAGAGGTTCTCTAGATCCAGGGTTTCCCTCTGTAAATGGACGGTGCCCTAGCTGGCTCGGTCCTTGCTAAAAACCTAGCTTCCTGCAACAAGACTACTAGAGACAGAGCTTTTCGTCTCCTCAAAACATGGTTACCGTCACAGGGACGCGTCTCGGATGACGAAATGAAGAAGATCTGGAAAGGCTTGTTCTACTGCGTCTGGCACGCCGATAAACAAAAAATTCAGATCGAGCTCATCAACCGACTCGCTTCGCTTCTTGTAAGTCTCGATCTCCCTCTGTCCGTGCATTACTTCGAGGTTTTCTTGACGACGATTCGTCGCGAATGGAGTGGAATAGACCTTCTGAGGTTGGACAAGTTTTATCTTTTGATTCGTAGATTTGTTAACTATTTCTTCCTTCTTTTGAAGAAGAATTCATGGGATCTTGAGTTGTCGAGTCGTTTAATGTGCATCTGGGAAGAAAAAACGCTTTTGGCTTCTGATAAGTATCCAGCTCAGGGTATTAATTATCATGTCTCTGAGGTTTTCTTGGAAGAACTCAAGCCTTTTCTTCCTGTTAGATTGGAAATATTAGGTGTCCTGTTCAAACCTTTCCTTTCTGTGATGGAGAAGTCTTCAGATAAAGTTTTTCTGAATAAGATCAAATCTGGCATATTTGATTGCTTGCTTAGAAATGGGAAGAAGCTCTTGGAGCTCAAGAAAGCTGGGAAAGGTGTTGAAACTGGCGATGAAGTGAATCTATTTGGAACAATAGCTCTGACATTGGATCTTTCGGTGAAGTTCTTTAATTTGGGTTCCTCTCCAGAGTGCATTCAAGGTAACAGGAAAGTATTGTTTGGGTTGCATGAGGAGTTTCTCAAGTTGGAAAAGGAAATGTCAAATGCAGGAATAGAAGTTTCAATTCCAGAGGTCATTGGGGATAACGTAGATGAGGTGCCTGATTTGATTCCCATTACTGCACAAGAAGTTGGTGCAACTGATGTCTCCTTAGAAGTGGTTGATGTGGAACCTGCAGTTTCCAATGGGTCAGTAAGTAAGCTTTCTAAGAAGGGCAAGAAGGCAAAAAAGGCTTCCAAAGGAACTAGTAAAAAAGCCAAGACCAGTATGAATGGGTTTGCTAGTTCCGTTGATTCAGAGAATGGCATGGATCATAACATACATACCGCAAATGGTGAGAATTTGAACGAGGATGATGAAGGGAAAGAAAAAGATAGGGATGGAAGTGAGAATATTGCAACAAATGACGACCCAGCATCTGATGAGAATTTGATTCCTTTATCTGAATCTCTGATATCAAATTTACAGGTGCAGTTTGAGAAGGTTGCTGCTGAGGTTGGAATGGGGGAAGATGGTATAAGTGCATATGGCTCACCCACATCACCGGTTGATAGTGTTTCAAAGAAGAGAAAGAGGTCAAAAAATGTAGATGGGCAGGTTTCTAATAGTGCAGATTTGAGTAATCAGGGGGGTAGTGCAGCAGGAAAAAGTGTGGAAAAGAGTGCCAAGAAGGTCAGGTTTTCCATGAAAAATAACTTGGTTTGGAAGCCACACAATCCTTTACCTCCCCAAAGCTTGAGATTACCACCCTCAGCTACTCCTAGAGGTAGTGCACTTAAGAAAGGGATTCCCCCAGGTCCAATTAGGGAGATCCCATCCACCACAAAAAAGTTGAAGAAGCGGGCAAGCTCTGTGAAAAAAGCACGCAAGGGTCCAAAGAGTGTTTCCCCAGCCATCAAACGTCTGAGGAAGTTGCAGTCCCTTTCCGTATAATGTGACTGACTTGGATGAGGATTATATTTCTTTGTATTCTTCTTTTCAAAGTCTATTTGTGCTCCTTTTACCAACCCTAGCGGCTAATTATTAGAGAGATGGATGTGATCCCAAAGAGTGATTATTTTTTTTTTATCAAATTAGCAATATAGGCTGCACCTTGCACTCAGTTTTTATGGATATTCATATTTGAGACTGTTTTTCTTGGTGGGTAATTTGTTCTATTTCATTGATAATTGAGGCAAGCACATTCATGATACCAGCACCATAAATCATTCATTTCAATTTCATGCTATCGTATATATTATGCTCCTCTGTTTATTTTGAGCTCTTTCTCTTGGCTATATAGTTCATTTTCTGTTCAAGTTTCAAATCTTGAGCTAAATTTGAAATAGGAAGTTATTTATCAAATAAACGTCTCAAATAGCAAGTCTTTAATGATAATAATTGTTATTAGTATGATTCAATTTTAGGCTTCATTTGGGCAATGAGGTTAGGTAAGCTTATTGGATTTTTTTATAAAAGTCCAATTTTAGAAGTTCTGTTTTAAAAAGTCAAATATTGGCATTTAGTAAATCATTTATCAATCTTCCTAAGGAGAATCGTGCATTTGGTAACATTGCTAAGAAAGTCGTTATTTTTCATTTCAATACCAATATTGCCCTCATGACTCTGTGGCATATTTCATCACAAAAGCATGCACCAATGCTACAAAATAATTACTAGCATTAATAGAACATTTCCATTTGTCAATGTTTTTCATTGTAAATGTGGACCTTATAAGAAAATTGACCAAAATAATCTTTTATTAACAAATTGACCAAATACCTTTATAATGACAAATTGACCAAAATCAACATAGATATAAGGTACAACGGCCTTAAATTAACAAAAATGCCTCTATAGGTAACTAATTGACCAAAATGCCCCTATATTAACAAAAGTAGCCATATTTTATCCAAAATTGCCTTCAAAGTATATGGCATAAAAATCAATGTTTTTCATAAATTGAATAAAAGTAATTTGACCAAAACACCCTTTATAAATAAATTGATCAAAATGGCCCTATAATTGGCAATTGTCCAAAATGCCCATACAAGGTATAACCAATACCAATAGCCTATGGGAACCAATTGGGCTTAAACAATATTTAATTAACAAAAAATGCCTCTATACATAACTAATAGACTAAAATGCCCCTATATTTAACAAGAGTAACCATTACAAATATTTTACCCCAAATGGCCTTCAAAGTATGCGGCATCAAATATCAATGCTTTCAGCATAAATGTGAACTCTACAAAAAAAATAATTTGACCAAAATACCCTTTTATTAATAAAACCAAACTACCCCTACGATGGCAAATTAACCACAATGCCCACACAAGGTACAGTAAGTCAATAACAAACACCGTAGGGCCAATAGGTCCTGATGAACACTGAGTTGATCAAAATGCCCAACCTTTTTTTTTTGATAAAATCATAATAAAATTACAAAGTGGCACCTTAAAATAGGGTATCTTTGATTATGTCGAATGTAGGGTATGCATTGAGATCAATGGGCCTCATGTTACTAATTTAAAATGCAATAATGCCAACAATGCATTATTGGCATACAATCATATTAATATATTGATAATGAATTTACCTTGTACATACAATCATATTAATTTACTTGTCTAACATACATTTACCATAGATTATATATTAATTTTTTATAAATGTAGATTATTTATTACTATAACAACTAAAAATTGCATATACAAACATCTATACTATATTATAAAGCAATTAGGTTCCACGTCAGCAGCTCTCTCCTTCTCCCTTCTTCTCCCTTAAACCTCTCTCCTTTCTCCCTTACCCCTTTTTAGCCCTTCCATGTAGCCATGTAGCAGCCTTCTCTTCTACACTAGAGAGTTATTCCAAATCTCTCTCTCTCTCTCTCATGTTCTCGATCACTTAGCCAACCCCCTCCCAAAATTACTCTTAAACTATCTCTCCCACCTAATATTCTTCCTAAAACACCTCTTAATCTATATTATCATGCGGCAACCCTCTCTTCTTCACTAGAGTTCCTCTCTCTCTCTCTCTCTCTCATGTTACTAATCGGCTCAACCTCTTCCTAAAATTTCTCTTAAACAATCTCTCCCATCTAAAATTCCTCCTAAAACACATCTTAATCTATATTATAAACCATCTAGAAACCAAAAATGAGAGTAAATTACTAAGAAAATTTTAACACCTAAACTATAAATTTTTGTAATTTTGGTAAATAGAAAATTTTAATTACTAAGAATTACTTGCTGAAAATTATTGATTTTGGTAATTTAATTTTAGAATTTTTTTGAAAATTTATTACTGAAATTAATAATTACTAAAAATTAATAATTAATTAAAATATTAATAAATACAAATTTAACAATTAAAAATTATCAATAATTTTAAGCAGTAAGTAGTTATTGATACTTTTAGTAATTTTGGTTAATTTATTAATTTAGTGATATAGGTTTAGGGGATGCCCCTAGGGTAGGAATGGCAATGGGCAGGTTTGAGGCGACCCCCATCCCGACCTCGAGTTTTAAATTAATCCTTGTAAAAAAATTATAGCTAATGTGGGCTAGTCGAGCCTAACCTATTATGGGCTAGGAGGCCCGACCCATTAATGCCTAATAGTGCCAGCCATAGTAGGGGGAAGCCCTACTGCCTTCGTACGGAGCCAACTGTGGAGCAGTTAGGCATACTCGCAAGGACCTGTCACCTGACTTCGTACAATTCTCATCTGGTGCATTCATCTCCACCTGCCTCCAGCTAACTCAAGTATAAATATGGGGTAACTCTCCCTTGACAAGGGATCTCAGGTCCCAGATTTCTGGTACAACTCCCTCATTTACTTCTAGTGCCTTGAATTAATTTCTTGCACCTACCTCGCTTTATTAACATTCACTCCTGGGGACTCAGTGCATCCGAGGACTACCATAAAGACCTTGTTTGCACCTTCCCCCATCTCGCACCTTATACTAACTTGAGCATCGGAGTCTATGCCTTGGGTCTTCCCCCGAGGTCTYTGACATCTCTTGTTTTTGCAGTACCTCGGATCCCCAGGAATCTCGCCACCAAGCTGACGACCCATAGTCCTCGACTTCTACCATACTTAAGAAGAGAGCATCTCACCTCGGCCTCGGCTTACTCTCCTCTGAACTCTCAAAGCCTTCGTTCTACCTTCGGAACTTGGGGGCAAATTTACCTTGTTGCCCTCAGCTAATCCAAGCAACAACAACTGGTGCCATCTGTGGGAATCATTGTTGAGACGATTCCTTAACTCGCAAGAAGAAAAACCTCCAAGTCCTCCTAAGTTCGAAAGTCATGGTGCGAAGAACTAGGAATAACTAGAACCTCATCACCTATGAGCAGTTTTAAGCAGTCCTTGATCGTTTGGACCACCTCACTCAGCACATGGAAGAAGTTTGCCCCCGAGCAGGAGGTCCTTCTTGAGGCGACTGCCTCGCTAGGGGGTCAGAGGATCAGGGCCGATGCGAGCACATCGAGCCCCCAGCCCTCGGCCAGGGCGACAATTAGCTGGCCGAGCATTTGTCTCAAAATTCATCCTCAGAAATCCTTGTGCAGATCTGAAAAAGATTGGTTCTCAGAGAATCATTTGTCTCAAAATTCATCCCTTACTCAATTTTGTGAATCAATTAAAAGTAGGAACAAGGAAGGATATGTTTGGGATTCAAATCCAGTGGAGATTTTCATTCCAACACAATAACTAATGATTTTGACTCAGATCCAAACTTAGATGCCTTCATGGAACAAAAAAGATACCTAAGCATGAAGAAACATAATGAACCTCAGGAGACTATCAAGCTGCATGCCCCAGCTCGACGCAAGCATGAAGCAACCTCCTACAGCATCTGAACTTTGGTGATGTTACAGAAACATGAGTTGTAGCTAGAGCACTCTAAAATTTGTACATGGTGGTTTTCCTACACCTAGAAATGTTTGTTATAGGTCATAATCTATCACAATGAAATACATGCTATTCATTTAGCATGCTAGATTATGAGCTAAGAATCGAGTCCCTCCGATATTTTAATACTCTATCTTGTTTAGAATATCCAGGAAATTTCATCTCAATGATGAGATTGTACCTACAAAATTGTCAAATTCATCACCATCCAAGCCTTACCCCAACTATACAGGGTCTATTACATGAATCCTATTTTTGCCTAAGGATGGCAATTTTCCCCATCCCCAACGGGGATCTGACTTCCCCGACCTGATGGGGTCGGGGATGGGGATTGAGGTCCCCGCCCCATTCCGATCCCAACTACATACATACATACATACATACATATATTATTTATATTATATATATTAAATATGTTATGTATATATCAAAATATATTTAAAAAAATATTTATAATTTATAATTTTTATTTATTTTAAATAAATTTATTTTTCAAATAAATACTGTTATTTAAAAAAAAATTGGGAAGTCGGGTCCCTGCGGAGAACCCATTCTCGTTGGAGATCAGGGATGGAGGACAAATTTTATCCCCGGTGGGGATCAGGGATGGGGATCGGGGTTAATTTCATAATTGGGGTTGGAGACGGGGAATATGATCCGTACCCCGTTGCCATTCCTATTTTTGCCAAGATGTGTTACACAGTAGTTCAACCAGGGGAAACAAATCCAATGTAATTGAAATAACAAGGAATCAAGAAAGGAAAGGGTGGAATAATCGCATGGAGCAAATTGGTCTCCTAGTTGTTGCCAACAGTCATATATGGGTGCATATTGAATCATATAAAATTATAGATAAGTGGCACTCTATTTGTGTGAATCTCCAGAGAGAGTTCTAGAACACCAAATATACACATCAAGAATCCATATCCAGACGTTATATACATACTACAAGATAGTGGCATTCTGCATGTCTATAACACATTACAAAGCTCTTCCGGATAAAGCCGACTCTAGTATGTCCAACTAGCCCTTGTTCATTTTCTAGAATTTGCAAAGCTACAATGGTATCTCAATTTTCAAAGGAAATGAATCAATGATCATTATACTCTTTCTAGGCCAGAATTTAGACCCTGAAGTCTTGAGGACAGAATGCCATGGGTTGATGTTCCCACCTGCTCTTGCTAGGGGTGGCAATTTTTCACCCAACCCATCCAATATCTAACCCACCCAACCCGCCCATTTATTTGGCAGGTTGTGTGATCAACCTATCACCCAATCTGCCCATTTAAA